GCATGACCCATCACTGGAGATGCTGGTGGCCACATTACCAGCTCAAGGAGAGAAGGTCTCAGATTACGCAGACAAGAGCTGAGAGATGGACAGAGAGCCTCTGAGCCCAGTCAGACCTGATTCCAACTCTACCCCAGACCTTTCCATTTCCAGTTACATGTGCTAGTAACTTTCCTTTTTGTGCTTTATTAATATAGCTAAAAGAGTGAACACAAGGACTTTTCACACCAGATGGCCCACATCTCAGGACATACAGCACGGGACCACACAGTGACTGCTCAAGTGGCAGAGTCAAGTTCAAATCCTGGCCTCGGGGTTCTTGAGTCCCTCAGGACCGTCTGACTAATGAGTTGTTGGTACAGTGAGGGCCGTATTGTGCTGGCATCTCCAAGAGTGCAGGCTTTGGGGCCAAGCCCTGTCAGAGTTCTTCCTGCAACATTCTAGAATTACTAGTCTGTGGTCAACCTCGCCCAATAGATCGAGAGTTCCCGTCTTTCCAGCCCAGTGGTCACAGGCTCTGCAGCAGTGTCTGGATCAGAGAGGTTTCAGCACAAAGCACAAGAAGGCAGAGAGCTGACCAAGGTAGCAGGCCTCCTTCCCTCTGACGCTGCCCTAAAGCATGCTCTGAGAACACAGGATGGAAACTCAACAACAACAAAAAATACAATGTGATTAAAAAATGGGCAGAAGATCTAAACAGACACTTCACAAGACACACAGATGGCCAACAGACACATGAAAACATGTTCATCGTCACTTGGTATTAGGGAAATACAAATCAAAACCAGAATGAGAGCTCACCTCTTACCTGTTTCAACAAAACCCAAGAAACCACAAGTGTTGGCAAGGATATGGAGAAAAGAAAACGCCTGTATACTGCTGGTAGGAATGAGAATCAGTGCAGCCAAGGTATGGAAACAGCTTAAGTGACTACCAACAGACCAGTGGCTAAAGAAGATGTGGTCTACATACACAATGGCATACTACTCAGTTGCAAAACCAAAAAAAGGTGACATCTTGCCTTTTGTGACAACATGGATGGACCTAAAAGAACTGTGCTAACAGATCATTCACTCAGGAGAAAAGACAAGCAATGTATGATTTCACTCATACAGATATAGAAGATAAAGAAAACAAATGAAAAAACAAAACAAAACTAAAAACAAACCCTTAGATTCTGACAACAAAATGGTGGTTACCAGAAGGGGGGCGAGAGGTGAGAAGAACAGGTAGGGGGTCAACTGTATGGATGGTACTAGATGCTTGGTGGTGATCATGATGTAATATATAAAAATCTGGAAATGTAAAGCTGTACATGTGATGCCTATAGAAAGGGGGAGGGGTAGAATAAAGAGGATAGTAAACAAGGTAAAAGATGTCCTTTGGAGGGGTAGGCTGGCTACCTCACAGGATACTCCAACAGCTTGACAGTATTCCTATATCACCCCCAAAACGAGGAGGCGCACCTGCTCTCTGGCACACAGGCTGATTCAATCCATCTCAAAGGCAAACAAACAAACAAACAAAAGTCACATAAGGACAATATAAGATACCATTTGTGTAAAACAAGAGGGGAGTTGCTTCCTGAAATGTATTCAAACTGCCTCCAGACGGGGCTGTCTGATAACATAGCCACAAGTGGTGATTTAAAATTAAATACAAATGTAAAACCTAGTTCCTCAGTCACACAGCCACACAAGGGCTCCTCAGCCATAGCAGCTGGTAGTGGCAGCACTATTAGCATAGACAACGAACATTTTCATCATCACAGAACGTTCTATCAACCAGCATACTCTAGAAAGACATTGGCAAACTAGGAAAGGCGCCCTCTGGAAGGGGGAACAGAAGAAGGGCAAGAATTTATTTTTTATGTGTAATATATAGCACTTAAATTTTTTTCTATCACATCATACATTATTTCCAATTCAAAAACAAACATTTGTAAACTGTGAACAGTAACCTGAGAACAGAGGAATATGGATTAGCTGCATGTGTGGGAAGCCCATATTAGCACTGGAGAACAGATATCTTTTGGGGGGCAGGTATGTGAGGAAGCCTCAGACAGCAACCCCGAACATCTGAGTCACCCTTTGTGGCACAGGCAACTCCTATGTCCCCCATATTTCCAGAGTCTCAACAACCTTCTAAGAGGTCCTTGGAGTTATGTTCTCATTTGCTTTGGACTCTTGAGGCTGCTGCAACAAACTCCCACAAAGGTAACCTTACAGTGACAGAAATTTATTCTCTCTATTCTGGAGAGTCTAGTTGCAAAATATAGTTGCCAGTAGGGCTGGTTCCTTCTGGAGGCTGTGAGGGATTATCCAGTTCATGCCCCCCTCCTGCTTCTGGTGGCTACTCGCAATCTGGCGTTCCTGGGTTTGTGGACATGTCATTCTGATCTTTCCCTCTATCTTCCCTGGTGGGTCTTTTCTAAGGACACTCATCATTGGGTTTAGGACCCATTCTAAATCCTGGGTTATCTCATCTTGAGATCCTTAATTATACCTGCAAAAGATCTTGCTTCCAAAAGATCTTGTTTACAAACATGGAGGTGAGGGCAGTCAGAACTGGGACACAATTCAACCTACTATACCATTTTATAGACAAGAGGTGCAAGGATGAGGTTCCCTCACTCACCTGTAAACTGAGGTTACAGTGATAGCTTAAGTAACAGACCTGCCAGTCTTGCTCTCCTGATTGGGGCAAAAGAAGAATCTTGACCTTCCAGTTCAAAGCCCACCCTCCTTTGAGTACCTAGCTCCCATTGAGTACCCATTTCACAATGGGTGACATGTACAGAAGTCTCCCCTTTTCAGGCTTCACTTTTCTCTCTGCTGTACCCTAGGATCTAACAAAAGATTACACTGTCCCCTAGACATGGGAAGAACCGGGCTAGGGGGATCTGAAGGTATTCAATCAGACAGGGATCCAAGCTACATAGGGTGGTCTGTGTGTACAGAATCCAAAAGTCTGCAGGGAAGATCAGAACTGGGAAGAAGGAATGAATCAAGGCTTCTCATGTTGGAGGCAAAGGCATCTGTCCTTTTTATGATAAGGGAGAATGTGCCAGACAAGAGGGTTTTTATCACCAAAGGGCTCTGGTCCACAGGGTTGGAGAGATTTCTCCAGCTCCAGGTGACAGGAGAGAAAAGCCTGTGGGTACAGATGTGTGTTGGGGCCTGGCAGAAGCCATCCTGCTGCACCCCTGGTCACAACTGCAGGGATAGCCTGATGGTTGACACAAGCCCTTCAGACAACAACACTGCACTTGATTGCTGGGCACCCCCAGAGAACAGGGCAGATCACTGCCTTCTTGTTAAGGGTTCTGGGAGTTTTACCAGTCTTTCTGCCTCCATTGTCTTCTCTGAAACACTCTTGATACCTCTCTCAGAGGTTCAGGACCCCCAGGGGAAGGTAGGCACAGGACTGTCTCCAGTTCCTGGACCTTGACCTGTACTTCCTCCATGCCCTCAAAAAATCCTACAGAGTGTACCCCAACATTATTATTATTTATTGTTAAAGTTCCTCATACTTAGTAGGTGGTAGAACAAGACTTGGACCTGGTTCAGAATAATTCAGGAGCTCCATGCCACCTCACCTCACTTCCCATGTATCATCGATTTGGAGACTTTGAAATGTTCGGTCAGCAAACCTACAGTAAGAAACCCATTTCATCTCACTATGTAGATCACACTACAAATATAAATAGCCTAAACAAAAACTTTATGCCAATATTTTTTATTCTAATCTATGCTAATTCGAAATTTCAAAATGCTCTGCAACCCACTGAACAGATTTCCAATCTCATGAATGCATGGTGACCCCTGGCTTAAAAAACACTTTATCTACATAACTCACACAAATTACATCCACACAACACTCAGTAGGGGAAATTATTCTCGCTTCATACATTTTGCAGATAATCCAAAATTTCACTTGTGGGTCAGAAGATTTTCCCCCACTGAATGGAAATTTCTGATTTGCTAATCTGTTGATGATGTCATTACTTGTCATGTCCTTGTTCCTCCTATTAAAACCTTGGAAAGGCTCACTCAAGCTTGACCATAAAATTCTCTCCCACTGGCCATTCACAGACTGAATTTTCACATGAGGTGCACCTTTGCAGAAAATCTTTGTTAGGCACCTCCTAGCACTGAGATGTTCATTCTCAGTGAGCTTGGTTTCTGAACCAGCTGAAATGTATTGGGATATGCCGAACAAATTGGCTAGTGGAAGCCAGGACAGAGCCACTGGGTTCGGCTCTGGTTTCCTCTCACCCTGTCTGCCATAGTGGGACGTCTGAGAAGTTTTACAGCCTTCCACTCATTCACTGGTATGACATACCATTCTATCCAAACATCAGTTTAACTTGGGAAATACCAGGGCTGAGGCAGCACACCTGTATTCTCAACCATGGTCTGTGCACATGAGGACAACTGTTAGACCTGAAGCACATGGATTAGGAAGCAACATGTCCTGGTTCACGGTCATCCCATCTATACCACCAACACCCAGAGACACACAATTATTTGAAAAATTCAGATCATGTTTCTTTCATCCTTTCTCTCCCTCCACCAAAAGAAATAAAAACAACAACAGCAAACTATATCAGCACATTATTTATCTCTCGCACCATGTTTGAAATAGAGCTAGGGTGACAATGACAACATTAATGTTGCGAGCACCCATCCACCCCTCTTTTCCGGTCTTTAGAATGAGATGGCTGCTATTTCCCGAGGATCTAAACCTTTATTATAAGTCATTGTAGCTCCTCACCAATACTACCATCCTCACCAAACCAAGTCAGTGAGTTAGTTTTGCTGGAATCTTTGACTAATAAGCTTGCCAGGGAATATGTAAGAGGAGAGGCTGAGGAAAGTCGACAAGGCGCCAATAGCTGGAAACCTAGGCGATCCTCTTCACCAGGTCATCGGCAGTTTTGAGCAGACAGGTGAGAGAAGGTCAGGCCTATAGTTGTCAAGCATCCAATGTCCACTTACCTGGGGGGCAGACGCACTCAGCTGGTGCTTCTCGAACTGTCCGCAGTTTGACGAGTCCATCTAACTTCTGAACCAGGAAGAAGAAAACAAAAAATGAAGATGAGTTTGACAGCAGAGAGAGGTAAAAGTGGATAAATCAGCAAAAACTAATATATGGAAAAGATCTACAATGGTGGTGGTGGTTTCGAGAACATTTTTTTAAAGATTTATTTATTTATTTATTTATTTATTTATTTATTTATTTATTTATTTATTTATACAAGCACCAGGTACAGTCAGAAGCGCGGAAGGGTGAGAGAATTCACCAGAGCCAGAGTGGGGAGCAGAACAGGCAGAAGGACCGAAGTACACTGCTGAGGGGAGCAGCGGGCGGCAGGAGAGGTCTGTGCACTATGTGGGTCCCTTGCCCATCGCCCGGGGATTGAACTGGCGCTGCAGAGGCTGCGAGCAGCTTTGCAACCCAGCGCTCAATCGCTGCGCCACCAGGGGAGGCCCTTCGAGAACATTTTTTAAAGGGTCATTAAGTTCTACAAGCAGTTTTAGAGAGAAAATTAAACATTGAGTAATTAATTACTTGGGAGTACCTGAAAAGAAGGTGGCAGGTGTCTGCGGGGTTGTAACACTTTCAAACACAAATCTAGAAGAGTCAAAGGGCCTGCGTGGCCACCCTCACTCGGAAGAAGACAGGGCAGAGGGCAGCTCACCCCCCATTCGAACCCCGGAAGTCCCACGGCACCCTGGTTGCGGCCTCTCCCTGATTGCCTCATACTGCAAGAGCCCAGGACTCAATCACCCTGATATTTTCCTTTCATCTTCCCAATGGGGACCCTTGACCTAGGAATTTTGGTTCAAGTACAGATTGACAATAATCTCTGCACATGCCCAGCCCTGTGCTGAATTTGGGTGAAAGGGAAAATAATTACCACAGAAATAGAGTCCAAAGTCACAGAGCTGATGAGCATAATCCATGGTACAGCTCTGGTACAACCATCACCTGACTTGACCCTCAGGGTAACCTCTAGGCCCCCAATTACTGTGCCTGCATCACAGATAGAGAACATAAGCTTGAAAAGGGGGAAGAAACTGACTCCAAATCTCAAATCTAGGTTCAGTGGAGTGAAGTGATTGGCTCATAATTACCAAACTAGCCAAGACTTGAATCCTGACAAGAATATACATTTAATCTTTCTCTAAAAAACAAAAACCCTTACTTAGAAGCAAAACAAAGCAAACTCTGAGTGTGCTAACTTGAGTGAAAAATGCAATAGTATCACCGGAAGTGGTACTTCTGTTTCAAATATTAAAAATATTTCTAAAGCACAGCTTTAGAGGAACAAGAGCACCCCTCCACCACCCCCAACTTGACCCCTGGACCACCAAGCTGGAATTCTCACAGAAGACAGGCCTGCAGCCAAGCCCTTTCTGCCCTTGGCTAAAGCAGCACAGGATCCGGAGTCTGAGACCAAAGGAAGGAGAAGGGGGAGGAGAGGAGAGAACAAGGGTAGCTCAGGTCACCTGCAAAGCACTTCAACTTCTACCCCAATCTCATCTTGTAGATCAGCAACCAGCAACAGATAGAATTAAGGCCAAGTTTTGAGAGAAGGTGCAGATGTGCAGTGCTAAAGGTGGTAAAAGAAGTACCATTGTTAGGGGGAAAAGGATGTCCTGAGCTAATTCCATACAGGCTTTGTGGACTCTACCCCTACTCCAGACCAAAGCCATCAGGATATTGGGAAAAACAAATCCCATCATCACCAAAGCGAAGGTTGCTGGGACCTGAGGGTGGAGTTAAGCAGCCAGGTTTGGTATAAAACCAGACATATGGGTCTTGCACATTTTTTGACTTCATGGCTCTTGGCTCGCGGCCAGCTCTCAGAGTGCCATTGGGTTTCCAGGTTGGCGGAAGGGGCAGGATGCATTTAAGACTTTATCTCCCTCTTTTCTCCCTGAGTTGTACATTTCCTCATTTTCCCTTCCCTTGTAAATAAACCTTTTATTAACCTTTTGTGTGTGCCTGCAGAGGAGTATTAATAAGTCCCTTATAAGCGAGCAGGTGAGGACCCACAGCCAGGCAACCTGTTTCATATCAGGGCTGCCCTGTAACACCATGACACACTGAGGGCATAAGGGTGCTGATGCCTTTGGGTGCACGGACTTCATCTTCACTGCACTTCTCCAGCCCCATGAGGTCTTGACTTGCCCAAGAGATAGAGAACTGGCTAGACCAGCCTCTCATCACCCAGCTGGACCTCCATCTGCCTGACTCCTCAGGTCTGCAGTGCACTCCTTAGAGCTCCCACCTGGCTCAGAGCTTCCCACCTAGTCTAGAGTGAAGCTTTGAGCAGCACAGGCTGGTGCCACCTGCAGCTGCTACAGGTCCCCACTAGCTGGATGACACCAACTCCACAAGACAGCAGCAGACACCACTCCCAGCTGGCTAGCCTTGTGTATCTTTTACCCTTCAGGGAGAGGGGTACATCAGGATCCCCAATCAGCCTGCTTTAATAAGGTTCTGCCATCTGCTGTATCAAGACAAAACATACTCTTGTGTGTAACACTTTTAATGGAAAGGAACTTTAATATAATTAGTATGCAAGGAACTTTAATATAATTAGTGTGCAATAATAAATTAGTGTGCAATAATAAAATCAATGTGCAATAAGGAAGAAAAGGGAAAGAAACAGATGAAATAGTTTTTACATGAAACACCCAAAAGTTACCCATTCCCTTGTGGGTAAATGCCCAGCCAAACAGGGCTGGCTCAAACCAGGGCTGCTGAGGCCTAGAGCATAACAGCCAAGCCCACCCTCGCTGAACCAGAATGCTGCAAAAACTGCCTGCAGATGCAGGCATGAGTGGGACCTGGGCACTCACCATTGTATTTGCAGATACTACTACAGATTTCAAAATTTACTTGGAAAAAGAATTCAGTCTTCTAGTTTAGGCCAGTCAATTTGTGAGATGCTTTCATCTGTTTTTATCATTGCTAGACAGGTTGGAAGCAACACTAATTTCCTTTTTTTAACAAAAGCATTGAATGCTAAAAAGCAATCTCTTTTAACAACTGCTATCACATCTGGGCCACTGTCCTAAAAAGGGAGGGAGTTTATCAAATACTGATAGGAAACACAATTACTTCTGAGCTACTCTTATCTTAAAATAAAAGCTAAATAGTCAACTATTGATGAGAAGGGAAAAAACTTACTGTTAATGCTAGTAAATCAGATCATAAATTACTGAGACAGAGTTTTTGTTTTGTCATTCATCCTAACTCCTTTTATGCATTTGTTTTTCTAGATTAGGTGGTGAATCTGCAGGGGTTTATCTCCCAATCCTCTATCCTCCCCCACCATCAGACCCCTAAACTCTCTGGGTTTGTGACATCAATACTATGAACACCAAGTGAAATGTTGGAATTGGAAACCCAATCCCACAATCTTTATTTCCATGCTTTTTTTTTTAATTCTAAGAAAATAATTTTCTACGTCAGGTTTGTAAAAATGACTTAAATGCCTTAATTTTTTACTTTCAATTATCTGGCAGCACCCCTCACATCTGCAAACAATATGGCCCTGGTCTTACATATGCAAACAAGTCCTGACTCCAAAAATGAATAAAGGATGCAACTCTGGGAGGGAGACTTTGGGAGTTGAAAGGTTCAGCATGGTAAAGAAGAGCCAAGCCAAGCTTTCTCAAAAGCAGGGAGAGTGTTCCTTCCAGAAGTACTGAGGAGGAGAACTTGAAATTTGGAGGGAGGGGGTGACAAAAACCAAGGGAAAACTAACCAGAGAAAATCATGGTTTTCAAAAAAGCTTTATATGGTTAGATGATAAATTTATTAATGGTCTACTGGGGCATTAATCTCAAACACTTTATCAAATGTTTGAACAGTTGTGTTTTAAAAGTATATAGATTAACATGTAAAAATGATTTATCCTGTAAAATGCTACAAATTAAAACCACAATTGTAATGGTGCTGGGAAAACTGGGTTGCTACATGCAAAAGAATGAAGCTTGACCACTACCTCACACCATACACAAAAATCAACTCAAAATGGGTTAAAGAACTAGACATAAGACCTGAAACCATAAAATACATAGAAGGAAATATAGGCGAAACACTACGTGATTTGCATATCAAAGACATCTTTACAGACACATCACCCAAAGCAGTGATAGTGAAGGCAAAGATCAACAGCTGGGACTACATCAAATTAAAGAGCTTCTGCACAGCAAAAGAGACAATAACAAAAACAAAGAGAAACCCCACCAACTGGGAGAACATTTTTGCACACAACACTAATGATAAAGGACTGATCACAAAAATCTGCAAAGAGCTGATGAGACTCAACAACAACAAAGAAAATAATCCAGTCAAAAAATGGGCAGAAGAGCTAAAAAGAAACTTCTCTGAAGAGGAAATGCAAATGGCCAACAGGCATATGAAAAAATGTTCAACATCACTTGTCATCAGGGAAATGCAAATCAAAACTACCATGAGATACCATCTTACACCAGTGAGAATGGCACATATTAAAAAAACTAGCAACAGCAAATGTTGGCGAGGTTGTGGAGAAAAAGGAACTCTTCTACACTGTTGGTGGGAGTGCAAACTGGTCCAACCACTTTGGAGAGCTGCGTGGAGATTTCTGGACCTACTAAACATAGAGCTTCCATAGGATCCAGCAATTCCACTCCTAGGTATTTACCCAAAGGACACAGAAACATCAATTCCAAAGAACACCTGCACCCCTATGTTTATAGCAGCACTGTTTACAATAGCTAAGCTTTGGAAACAGCCCAAATGCCCAAAAATAGATGGCTGGATCAAGAAGATGTGGTACATATATACCATGGAATATTACTCAGCATTCAAAAAAGATAAATACATGCAATTTGCAGCAACATGGATGGCGCTGGAAGGGATCATGCTCAGCGAAATAAGCCAAAAAGAAAAAGAAAAATACCGGATGGTCTCACTCATAGCAGGAATCTAGAATACTTAAATAAGGGACCAGGAAAATGAATAACTATAAGAAAGTGAAAATCAAAATCAACAAAAAACTA